TGGCAAACTGCAAATGTTTCTCCGAGTAAACGTAATTTCATATTTTGCAAAGTCATAAGTTGTTGTTATTGCTTATGAGCATTTATCGCACGTATGTACAAAACAGGATAATGTCCTGCTGTACAAGATATTACATTTGCACACTAACGAACTTTCGGAGAACGGAACAGAGACTTTTAAAAGTGTTCAGGTATAACTAATTGTGATGAACATTTCATGAGAATTGCAATGGTGAAAGTGAATAGGATTCGATGTAAACCATTGAGGTTTGGTCAATGGATTCGAAGGCAGGACGAATATTACTTTGAACACAATAGCTGTTGTGTTTTGTATATTCAAATATTGTGACTTTGAAATTCGTCTGAGCTACTGTAAGCTATTTAAATGGGTTTCAGTTTAAAAGTCACATTTTGGTGGTCTGGGTATACTTGAGTAATGTCCCCACTAATGATCCGCTCCGCCAGAACTCTCATTATTCCCTGAATCAAATCGCCATAATTTCCAAAAATCATCACTATTTCAAATCCATCGAAGCATAAAATTACAACACATTATCATTGTGATTGAATTTCGTGTCGGGAATTTTCAATTAATTCCATTTTTCCGAACCAAAAAAAAACTCTCCCCTCAGATTATTAATCGAAAATTTATAATCCATAACAAAGCGACAACAACAAATTGTTCATTCACTTCACTGATCCCCAACAATAGGAGCCATTCAATTCCCAGTTTCGAAACTCTCTAATTTGTTATTCAAATTCCGCAACAACAACAACTGTAACAACAACGAAATTCCAGTCAATATAAAAAACATCGATCTGTTGACATTTCATTTGTTAATTGAATTTCAAAATCCGCCAATTTATTGTTTTCAATTTATTTTGATTTATTCAATAGCAACGCTTTGACAACAGTCTGCCCTTCCGTTCGACAGACAGACAGCCAGCCAGTCAGCTTTTCTTCCTTAACTAACAATAGGGCGTTGACAATTTTCCGCTAGTTTAACGGGGGAGGAAACTACGTGATTTTAGTTGGAGCACTCATCCCAGCAGCCTCCATGTTAGATTAGGAAGAGGGGTATCGAAACTTTTGTATATGGCAACTGATTGACCATTAGGGAAATAAAAAAATCATTTGAAAAAACCTAGGACACCTAGGCTTCGAACAGTAATAACTGTATGTTCCATGCCATTTGTTTTGGGGATTCAGGTGTCCTCTGGGGGCAAATCATCGACAAATCTATGTCAAGTGATATAATAAATGGACAAAAATGGATTTGCATGCCGAGATTGAAATCCGAAAAAAAATACATACTCCGAATACAAATAGAAAATAACAGTTATTCACATAGAAGTATCGGATAGGAGAGTTTCACATAGAAATATCGGATGGGAGAGTTTCAGAAGGTGGACACAGAAGGCAGAGGGCTTGAGAAGCCAAAGAACTTCACTTTATGGGCTGACTGACAGCTGGAGAACCCTTACACAGAAGCATTGAAGGCAGGTATGAACGAATCAAACTCCCATGTTTCATAATAAAGGAACTGAGCCGATGGTCAGGTAGTTTATCTATTGAACCGCTGATGCCAGGTAATCTCTTTTGAGGGGTTTGTTGGGACGCAAAAGGAAGGGACGTATTTTTATACATTAACTAAATCCAGGTAGCCCATTTAAAGATGTGCAGGAGGCAGGTAATATGTCTATTGAGACTCAGAGGTCGTTATGCGCTGGAACCATGTTAAATGTCTCTCCGAACCCAGGAAGTTCATCTACAGACGTCTTGATCTAAATAACGCATCTGTAGCACAGCAAAAATAAATCCCAAAAAATACATACTCGGAATACAAATAGAAAATAACAGTTATTCACATAGAAGTATCGGATAGGAGGATAGGAGGACACAGAAGGCAGAGGGTGTGAGAAGCCAAAGAAATTCATTTTATATACTGACTGCCAGCTGGAGAACCATTACACAGCAGCATTGAAGGCAGGTATGAACGAATCAAACTCTCAAGTTTCATAATAAAGGAACTGAGCCGAAGTAATTCTGCACTAAGGTCAGGTTGTTTATCTATTGAAGCGCTGATGCCAGGTAATATCTTTTGAGGGGTTTCTTGGGACGCAAAAGGAAGGGACGTATTTTTATATATTAACTAAATCCAGGTAGCCCATTTAAAGATGTACAGGAGGCAGGTAATATGTCTATTGGGACTCAGAGGTCGTTATGCGCTGGAACCATGTTATATATGTCTCTCCGAACCCAGGAAGTTCATCTACAGACGTCTTGATCTAAATAACTCATCTGTAGCCCAGCAAAAATAAGGTAAAGACAGGGAGTCGAACTTGGGGCACAGATAGAGGATCGGAAACCAGGGATTATACAAGCTGGCAGCCTTACCGGTAATAGGTTTGATAATATTAATGTTTCGAGTCTGGGAAATAGGGAATGTGAGGAAGCCGAAAATCCTGTTGGTCTATCTACAGACCCGCTAAAAGTAGTCTACGGAAGTCTACGTTTAGAGAGAGAGAGAGAAATAGTCGATAAATATGGACAAGACTTCCTGTAATAGGAAGGAAGCCTTTGAAAGTTGGGTTGTATATACACGAAACCTTCGAATATGGTCTGTTTTGTGAGAATGAGCTCGGAAGGCGACTCGTATAACCTACGATGCAAGAGAATCTATATAAAAATTTCGTTCAGTGTTTTATAAAACAGCACCATAAATCCATCTAATCTAATGATGCGATCAAGCCTACGAGTCTTTCTATGGAGACGCTGAGGTCTGGGAGTCTATTTTATAGATAAATTGAGCCTTAGAGTCATTAAGTCGACTTTTATTGCCAGAAAGGCTTCGGAAGTCAACTGCTATGGTCAGGAAGGCTTCGGATGGTCACTCATAAATGCAGAATGTCGATTACTATATTTAAGAAGACTTCGGAAGTCGACTTCTATAGTCAGAAAGTCGACTATTATTGCCAGAAACACATGGAAAGTCGACTGCTAGAGTCCGGAAGGTTTCGGAAGATTACTTCTATAGACAGAAAGTCGACTATTATGATCAGGAAGGTTTTGGAAGTCGACTGCAGCAGTCAGGATGAGTTCAGAAGTCGTCTATTATAGCCAGAATGACTTTTCGAAACGGGTCTGGTGACTCACTAAAATCTTGAAGGTATATCTACAGACGTGCTGAAGGACAACAGCTTGGTCTATAGATCAGACCAGAAGACTTGGGTAAAAGTCTTAACCCTATTTGGCGATTTACTGATGTCGGGAGGTCTAGGAGGCCGGTGATATATTACTACATTAAATTCAAGCACTTAAGTCAACGATTGAATCCTGAATACGGGAATCCAGAGTGCTCACCTAGATATGCTCTGAAGCCGGGGAGTGTGTCTGTCAAGACGCTGATGTCTGAAAGCCTGTTATTTGTGGTTCGCTGAAGTCATTGGGTATGTCTTTTTACTAAATCTACGGCTGAAGGTACTGAAGGTTCTGTCTACAGGCGAGCTTATAGCAGGAAATCCATATGTTTAAAAGTGGACTGATGAACCACTAAGAAATTTTATAGACGCACTATAGGGGATATTATGCCATGAGGGCAGGGATTCATAAATCGGCTGCTATAATCAGGAAAACTTCGTAAATTAAGTATTATATGCTTTTGTCGACTGATATAATCGGGACGACTTCGAAAGTCAATTAAAATTGACAGAGGCCGTCTGCAATAATAAGGAAGCATCTGGGAGTTTGTTGTTGTACTCACGAGGTCTTCGAATATGGACTGTTTTCTCAGAATTCATAGTAACTTCTTAATAGTTCGGAAGAATTCGTAGCCGTCGGAAGCCGAGGAAGAAATTGAGTGATGCGGACAAGTAGACTTCAGAAGTCGACTGTAATAATATGTAGTCGACTGCATCTTGCAGAATGACTTCGGGAGTCTACTGTTATAGCCAAAAAGTCTTCGAAAGTCGATAGATATAGTCAGGAATACTTCGAAAGTCTACTGATATAGTCATAACGACTTCGGATGCTGGTCGCTATAGCCAGGAGGACTTCGGAAGTCGAATGCTATAGTCAGGAAGGCCTTTCGAAGTTGACTCGTATAGATGGGAATAATTCAGAAGTAACTTCAATAGTTCGGAAGACTTTTGCAGGCTTCGAAAATCGAGGTCGACTGAAGAAATTTAGAAATCGGTTGTTGTGAAAAAGCAGACTTTGGATGTCGACTGAAATAATATACAAGTCGACTGCATCAGCCAGGATAACATCGGAAGTCGACTGTTATAGCCATAAAGACTTCGGATAGAGTCAGGAAGACTTCGAAAGTCGATTAATATAGTCATGAAGACCTTGGATGCTGCCCACTATAGCCAGTAAGTTTTCGGAAGTCGATTGCTTAGTCAGGAAGACCTTGGAAGTCAACTTCCATTTTCAGGAGGACACTGGAGGTCTATACGGAAAGAATTCAGAAATAATTTCTTAAGAGTTCGGAAGACTTTATAACCTTCGGAAACCAAGATCGAATGCAATATTATATAAACCTTCGAAAGTCAGCTATTAAACTCAAGATGACTTCCCTACTGTTATGAAGACTTCGAAAGTGGACTATTGAAAAGAAAACTTCGGACATCGACTGTTATAATCAGGAAGTGGAAATGCGAAAGTGGACTGCTATAGACCTAAAACAGCTGTAGACCTAGGTCGATTGTTATAGTCATGAACACTTCGGATTTTGATGACTATAGTTAGGAATCGACTATTGCGTATTGGAAAAATTTACCATAGGGCCTGCAGGTGTTTTAATTTTCAGATAAAATAAATTCTAGAGCCCTTAGCTTAATTTAAGAACATATCGGATTCATTTCTATTTAAAAAGGCAATATTTTATTATTTTGTACCCTATTTCCTATTTCGATCCTCCGCTGTCTTCCTTTCTTGTTCCCTTTAATAACAAAAAACATCAAACAATTGTCTTCCCCATTTTTTTTTTTTTTACTTACCACACTTGCACGCCGACTTGACCCATCTTCAACCGCTCCATATCCGTTTGCGCCCACGCCGGACGTACCCACATCGATTTATGATTTATATCATTGCTGACATGGACCAATTCCAAACTGCTATGGGCATATTTACGCACGTTCCATGCAAAATTATTATGACCATCCACCAGGGGGACATCCCGCAATATCCGCTTGACAATCTTCAGTCTTTGTGTGTGTGAATTGCGGCTGGGCGCCATAACGAAATGCTGATACAGCAGCGTAGCGGCGATGGCCAACAACGACATCGCCACCACCAACGTCAGACCAATGACACAGGAATTGCGACCGGTTAACTTGTGTTGGCCGACACGGCTACCACCGACCATATGACCACCGCCACCACTGCCATGTTGTTGAGAGGCTTTTTGTGATTTGCGTTTGGCCTTGGCCGCCACTGCTGCGACCACATCGCCGGCAAGTGCATCGCTAACATCGGAGGGGGATTTGCTGTCGTTGAAGTTTACTTTTGATTTTTGTATGCTGGCAATTTCGCCACCCGAATCACTGTTGGAGGTGGAATTTTGGCGGGAGATAGTACGGCGGATGTTGGAGTGTTCGGTGACATCGGGTAAACCGCCGAAACCGGTGGTCTGCAAAAAAGGAGAAGAAAAACAAAAGAGAAGATAAAATATTGATAAAATTTTGGGGGGAAGGGGAACTTAATTAAATGTCATTCATTGATTTTGTGGTGGTCAGTGGTGTGGGAGTTTTTTGTTAGGGTAAGGTGCTGTCAGGACAACGGGGTGAAAGTTAATAATAATGTATAGTGGAAACGTGTTTATGTGCAGATAAAGATAACCAGTAGGAGGGTAATATATTGGCAGAATAATAATAAATTGTGGTTTGTATTGAAAGATATATTAGCGAACGGCAGGAGATCAGATGTCAAAGGATAACACATAAATATGATATGTGGCCGCGTATGTGTGTCGGATATATTGTGGGCTCTCTCTGTTGGACAATATTTAATTGAAATATATATCAAGGTTTATTTATCGTAGCTATTATTGGCAGGATAGAAATTTGTAGATAGTGTAACGTCTGTGATCAGACAAAGAAACAATGACATCGAACTTCGACAGCTGGAGGCGGTAGGACTTCGGAAATTGACCCGTACATCCTGGGAGATTTTAGTAACTCATAATTGTATTCAGAAAGTCGATTGGTTTAGTCAGGATGCCTTTCGAAGTTGGCTGGTTTAGTCAGGATGTCTTCGGAAGGTGACTTCTGTGGACAGGAAGGTCACGTCTATAGTCAGGAAATGAACTATTATTGCCACAAAGGCTTCGGAAGTCGACTGCTAGGGCCATGAAGGTTTCGGAAGGTCTATTCTATAGTGAGGAAGTCTAGTATAATTGCCAGTTAGATTTCGGAAGTCGACTGCAAGGTCAGGAAGGTTACAGAAGGTTACTTCTATAGTCTGGAAATCTATCTACTATTATTATAAGAAAAGTCAGTTCTATAGTCAGGAAGTCGACTGTTATTGCCAGAAAGGCTTCGGAAGTCGACTGCTAGGGTCATGAAGGCTTCGGAAGATCACTTCTTAAGTCAGGAAGTCGACTATTATTATCAGAAAGACTTCGGAAGTCAACTGCAGCAGTCAGGATGACTTCGGAAGCCGACTGCAGCAGTCAGAAGTCGGCTTTATAGTCAGGATGACTTCGGAAGTCGACTGCTAGGGTCAGGAACGTTTCGGAAGGTCACTTCTAAAGTCATGAAGCCGGCTATTATTATCAGAAATACTTCGGAAGTCGATTGCTGTGGACAGGAAGGCTTCGGAAGGTCACTTCTAATGTCAAGAAGTCGACTATTTCTATCAGGAAGACTTCAGAAGTCGACTGGTGTGGAAAGGAAGGCTGCGGAAGGTTACTTCTATAGTCAGGAAGTCGACTATTATTGCCAGAAAGGCTTCGGATGTCGACTGCTAGGGTCAGGAAGGTTTCGGAAGGTCACTTCTATAGTCAGGAGGTCGACTATTATTGCCAGAAAGGCTTCGGAAGTCGATTTCAGCAGTCAGGATGAGTTCAGATGTCGACTGTTATTGCCAGAAAGCCTTCGAAAGTCAGCTTCTATTGTCAGGTTGACTTCTGAAGCCATCGGTTATAGTCTGGATGACTTCGAAAATGGACTTCTTGAATCAGGAGATCATCGGAAATCCATTTCTACGGTCAGGACGACTTCGAAAGTCAACTGTCATAGTCAAGAAGAATTTTGAATCCGAATTTTACTGTCGGGAAGACTGTCGAAAGTGCATTTCTATAGCCCGGAAGACTTCGGAGGTCAATTTCTATTGTCAGGGTGACTTCTGAAGCCATCTGTTATAGTCAGGAAGACTTCGGAAATCGACTTCTTAATTCAAGAGGGCATCGGAAATCCATTTCTACGGCCAAGACGGCTTCGAAAGTCAGGAAGGTTTTGGAATCCGAATATTAGTGTCGGGAAGACTTCGAAAGTGCATTGCTATAGCCCGGAAGACTTCGGAGGTCAATTTCTATTGTCAGGGTGACTTCTGAAGCCATTTGTTATAGTCAGAAAGACTTCGAAAGCCCACTTCCATATTCAGATGGACTTCGGAAAACGACTTCTACGACCAAGAACGCTTTGAAAATCAACTATCATAGTAAGGAAGGATTTGAAATTCGAATTTTACTGTTGGGAAGACTTCGCAAGTGTATTGCTATAGTCCGAAAGACTTCGGAAGACAATTTCTATTAACAAGATAACTTCTGAAGTCATCAGCTATAGTCAGGAAGACTTCGAAAGTCGGCTTTTATTTTCAGGAGGACTTCGGATATGGACTTCTACGGTCAATGAGACTTCGAAGGACGTTTTTTATACCCTGAAAGGATTCAGAGGTCGATTATTATCGTCAGGCCGATTTCGAAAGTCAACTCTAATAGTCAAAAAACTTCCGAAGTCACAGGTGATAAGTAGAAAGTCTTGGGTTATAGACAATAACACTTCGCAAATCTTCAAATATAGCCAGGAAAAATTCTGATAATCTAAAATGATTTTATTTTAGAATTACATTTTAAACTTTCCCTGTCGCTGGCATATTCCCATTTCTGCCATATTCCCATCTCTGCCATTTCTGTTTTCAAATCACAGTAAAATAAACCAAAAAATATTTGTTATCCCTTGACCACAAATCTCAACTAGTTATCCTAACAGAATATTTTGCATATTTGATCTAATTGAAACTTTGTTTCAGAAAATTATTTGTAATTAAATGAGAATTTATTTTTGTTGAAAATATTCAAATTTTTATTTCAATTATCCCAGGGAGCGACAAAAACTTTTCCCAAACAATCATCCCAAAAATTAAGTCTTTAGAATTTATTTTCTTCTTCTTCATCTCTTCACATGTTTTACTATTTGTAAAATTTAAATAAACTTAATAAAGAAGAAATCTTCAAAATTTTTTCTGCTGGCCACTTCGTCTTCGTCTTCTACCTTTTCTCCTTTTATTCAAAATAAACATAACGTAAAAATGTTTTCTTTGGGAAAAATGTAAAGTTTTTGGTAGACAACACAAAAAAATAGAAAAAAATACTAAAAACTCTTCCATAAATTGTTCATTATTTGCTTGGTTGCCAAAGCAGGGGCATCGGAGGGGTTGAACATTACCATCGTAAATAGTTAACTTTGTTCGGACACTTTATGTTAGCCAACCTAATTGAATGTTGTTTTGTGGGTGGAAGGGGGTGGTGGTAGTGTTGGAAGCGAAAACTAATTTTAAAATATTATTTTTAGAATTATACAAAAAATCTATGCTTAATGTGGACCCTAAAAAATATCCTTTAAAAAATCTATGCCATATGTGGACCCTGAAAAATATCCTTTAAAAATCGATGCCTTATGTGGACCCTGAAAAATGTCTTTTAAATAATCCATGCCTTATATAGGCCTTGAAAAAATATTCTTTAAAAAATCCACGCCTTATATAGGCCTTGAAAAAATATTCTTTAAAAAATCCACGCCTTATAGTCGGCCTTGAAAAAATATTCTTTAAAAAATCCATGCCTTATATAGGCCTTGAAAAAATATTCTTTAAAAAATCCACGCCTTATAGTCGGCCTTGAAAAAATATTCTTTAAAAAATCCACGCCTTATAGTCGGCCTTGAAAAAATATTCTTTAAAAAATCCACGCCTTATAGTCGGCCTTGAAAAAGTATTCTTTAAAAAATCCACGCCTTATATAGGCCTTGAAAAAATATTCTTTAAAAAATCCACGCCTTATATAGGCCTTGAAAAAATATTCTTTAAAAAATCCACGACTTATAGTCGGCCTTGAAAAAATATTCTTTAAAAAATCCACGCCTTATAGTCGGCCTTGAAAAAATATTCTTTAAAAAATCCACGCCTTATATAGGCCTTGAAAAAATATTCTTTAAAAAATCCACGCCTTATAGTCGGCCTTGAAAAAATATTCTTTAAAAAATCCACGCCTTATATAGGCCTTGGAAAAATATTCTTTAAAAAATCCACGCCTTATATAGGCCTTGGAAAAATATTCTTTAAAAAATCCACGCCTTATAGTCGGCCATGAAAAAATATTCTTTAAAAAATCCACGCCTTATTGTCGGCCTTGAAAAAATATTCTTTAAAAAATCCACGCCTTATATAGGCCTTGAAAAAATATTCTTTAAAAAATCCACGCCTTATATAGGCCTTGAAAAAATATTCTTTAAAAAATCCACGCCTTATAGTCGGCCTTGAAAAAATATTCTTTAAAAAATCCACGCCTTATAGTCGGCCTTGAAAAAATATTCTTTAAAAAATCCACGCCTTATAGTCGGCCTTGAAAAAATATTCTTTAAAAAATCCACGCCTTATAGTCGGCCTTGAAAAAATATTCTTTAAAAAATCCACGCCTTATTGTCGGCCTTGAAAAAATATTCTTTAAAAAATCCACGCCTTATATAGGCCTTGAAAAAATATTCTTTAAAAAATCCACGCCTTATAGTCGGCCTTGAAAAAATATTCTTTAAAAAATCCACGCCTTATAGTCGGCCTTGAAAAAATATTCTTTAAAAAATCCACGCCTTATAGTCGGCCTTGAAAAAATATTCTTTAAAAAATCCACGCCTTATATAGGCCTTGAAAAAATATTCTTTAAAAAATCCACGCCTTATAGTCGGCCTTGAAAAAATATTCTTTAAAAAATCCACGCCTTATAGTCGGCCTTGAAAAAATATTCTTTAAAAAATCCACGCCTTATATAGGCCTTGAAAAAATATTCTTTAAAAAATCCACGCCTTATAGTCGGCCTTGAAAAAATATTCTTTAAAAAATCCACGCCTTATAGTCGGCCTTGAAAAAATATTCTTTGAAAAATCCACGCCTTATAGTCGGCCTTGAAAAAATATTCTTTAAAAAATCCACGCCTTATATAGGCCTTGAAAAAATATTCTTTAAAAAATCCACGCCTTATAGTCGGCCTTGAAAAAATATTCTTTAAAAAATCCACGCCTTATAGTCGGCCTTGAAAAATATTCTTTAAAAAATCCACGCCTTATATAGGCCTTGAAAAAATATTCTTTAAAAAATCCACGCCTTATAGTCGGCCTTGAAAAAATATTCTTTAAA